TGAAACCCATATACAGTTTTTTCTTAATTAGGAATTTTCCAGAAATTTTCAGTACCATCACATATTCCAATATCATAATTTCTAAAAGCAAATGTATCCTACAATGGTTTTTAGCAAAAAAAAATCAATGTGCATTATTTGAACTGAGTGTTCACGTAATAAGAATTTCTAATTTAGGGGGCCAATGTGGTGGGATAGTAAGCTAAGACTTTGCTTGAATTGTGGACATCCCATATGGAAGCTGGTTCCTGAATGGACTGCCCTACTTCCAATCCCTGCTTTTGGCATGGGGAAGCAGTAGAGGATGGCCCAACTGCTTGGCCCTGAACCCACATGGGAGACCCATAAGAACCTCCTGGTTCCTGGCTTCTGATCCACTATGCTCTGCCCATTGAGGCTATCTGGGGAGTGAACCTACAGATAAAGATCTCTTTATTTCTGCCATTCCTTCTCACTGTACCTCTGCCTTTCAAATAAAAATAAATCTTTTAAAAAAGATTTTCTAGCTTTAAAAAAAATTATCAACAATCCCTCAAAATTGTTATACTTTTAGCCCTTCAACTTCACCTTGTATAAACTAATGATTAGCCTTTCTTGTCCTTACAGTATCCAAATGTGATGGGTGTGATAACAAAGAAAAAGTCCTTGGCCAAACAACTGAAATGAAACCTACAATAAGAGAAGTAAACGGCATTCCTCTCTTTTATAAAACAATATGACTTTTCCTTGAATAATTTTTGAAGATCAGAAATTTGTAAGAATACAGAGTGAAATGGAATATCATCCACTTCTGGAGTAAAAGTTTCCACTCAGCAAAGCTAATTCTTAGAAAAGCAGACTATAACAACACATAAGTGTAATGCGAGGATTAACCAAGCAGAAAATAGGGTCTGTGTCACCACTGTAATAAAGTCAAAATGGAGTGGATTAAAACCAAACTCTAACTGGTCTGGAAATGGCTTTTTGAGGATACAAACATTTCTCCCAAGCCTTAGTGTTCCTTCTTTATTAGTAAAATGTTACGGTCATCATTCATTTTTCATTCAAAGTTATCCTGGTAAATAAGCATGGGCATTTTCATTTTGGATTGCATGTACCAAAAGGAAATGGTTTTCTGCAGTAATATCTTAAAAGGCATCTGGAACATGCCTGATGTTTTATCCCTGAGTTTTTGATTCCTTTAAAGAAGAGTATCTTCACTTTGTTATTCACAAGAAAAAGCTGACGAGGCATTCTCTTAAGACAGGGATTTTTGTGCATTGGCAAATAAACTGATTTGTGTGAAAGTCGGGGAGGCAAACCCACAACACACGTACAATATGTATCCTGCAGAGAAATAATGACAGGAAGTCAACTGCCTGGTTTGCAATACAATATGTATTGAAGGAGATGAGCCTTTTATACCTATGAGCATAGCAATGAATAAAATATTAAGTAATTTACCTTAGATGTAGTTATTTTTGCAAATGTTAACATTTAAACACACTAGAAATAGCTCTTGAAATTGCTTATGCTAATGCTTACTGCTACTCATTTTAAAAGGCAATTCCACTTAAAACAAAACCTCAGGCCTGAAAATACCAAGTTAAAGAAAACACACCAAGGTCTATATATACAAGATACAAAAATCTGCAATACCTCAGTGTCGTTTTAATTCATAAATCTACCTAATCAATAAAGTATGTGTTTAAGATCTTAATACATGATTTGGCAGATGTTTCATAAGCCAAATATACTTTCCATCTCTTAATAATATACATCTATCCAAAATGTTTTTTTTTAACTACCTAAGGGGTGTAATAGACGTGAAATGATAATTGCTTTGGCGTCATCATGCACAAGATAAAGAACCAATATTTGTCTAAACAAAAATATGAACATCTCAAAGGCAATTACAATATAGGGAATCAAAGAAATCCATAAATATGCCCTGTTAAATCCACTGAAGTGAGTGTTGTAAATCTGAAATTCTAGCAGATGGCTTTCTGTTTTTTACACGTAACAAATCAGTAAATAAAGCACCTGATGATTTATTTAAAAATTGTTATTTTTGTCTCCATCAGCATTAATGTAATTTCCTGAAAGACACTGAGAAAAAACTAGATTTTAAAAATGTGTTTGAACAAAAAAAAAGAGAAATAACTCTTACATGCATAATTTATGTATTTCCTTAACATAGCTATTACAACTAACAGATATTGAAAAACTTAACAAGCTTCAGGCTGAATCCTCATCTTAATGACAGCTCAAGTCAGTTTTAATAAGCCTTTTTAAGTGACAGAATACTGCTTAAATTGGAAGGGAGTTGATAAACACAAAGTATTTCCAAATCTACGATTTCAGTGGTGCAGGGGAAGTTACCAAGTGTTTGGAACTCTGTTAATCCATTCAACTTCATATAATGCCTTGCTGGCCTTCAATTATTCAAGCTTAACATTTTATAATCACTTTCCTACAGGCTATAGAATGCACATTTTCCATTTAGGACAGCATATGTTGTTAGGCTTATCATGTTTTCCTGTGCTATAAAATATGGTGTTGATATAATTACCTGTCTCTGATTGCAGCCTTATCAATGTATATTCTTATTATGATGCAAATGTCCATTTAGTTATTTTTATCCTCCTGACTCAAAGGAAGACATAGAAATTAAAATCCATGTTGCCACTTAAAAGAAATACCCAGTGTGCTCTCACTCTCACTATTTGATGACAAGATAAGGAACACAGAAGAATAACCAGCACATAGATCCCAGGATACATTCACTGACCACATATGTGCATTCAGGGCAAAACAGAAACGCATTAACAGATGAATCATTCATATCTACACATTGCAGCTCTTCAAGGGCTGGAAGTCACATTTTCACAACATCTGCCTCTATCTCACTGGAGAGACAGCAAACATGTGAATAAGTACGAGGAGTCAATAGTAAGGTACACCTTGTATATGCAGCAAACAAGAGTACACACACATACATGCATTATACATGAATAGGCACAAATATGACCTATATCATATATACATCACTGTAGATGTAAACACTGAGGACTGATGTTCACCATCAAAAAAGAGGTTACAGGAGTCAGGGTTTGTTCCAAGGAAGAATTTTTCTAACGTACTTATTCTGATTATACCTGAGAAACTCATATTTGTGTTGTTGGAAGCTTCATTTCTAAGTACATTTGCTTATCAAGAGCAATAATAACCTCCTCAAATCATGATGCTGTGCTATCCAAGTAAACTTATCATAAATTGAACATATTATAATCTGAACACACATTCACTACACAGGACCTGCTGGGAATACCAGAATAGCAGCTGAGCATGCTAGAGCATGGGTAGTTTCTTATAGTGATCAAAGGGCTGACTAGGAGCTACGTAGCCACAGACCAACACCACGAGACACTGCTAGCCTGGAAAAGATCCAAATTCAACATTCAAAGCAGAGTGTCTCCCTGCCATGAATCAATTTTGTACTACAATAAAGTTGAAAAAATCATACGATGAAAGGTTATAAGGAAGGAACTGGCTATAGACTAGTCAATTAGATATAAGTATTATTAGTCTTAGGATAAACACCTGATTTTAAATTACTTCTTGAGTTTGCTTAAACTCATTCTTGAGTTTGTTCAAAAATGCCCCACACTCCCTTTTCCTGACATGGGTCTACCTGATGAGCTGAAGCAAACCGTTTTCCGGCTCAGCAACTCTTAAGACTACATTCTGGTTGCTCATCAATTTCCTAGTGACAATCAAACTTCTGAGTCATCACTGAGCACTTGTTAATGGGGCCAACTGCCATGGCTCTTCTCATATCCTGTTTAGGAATTTTTTTTAATATTGCACAAGGCCATTGACTTAACAGTTTCAAGTATATAATACTTTCTTCAAATATCAGCTTCTACAATATCACAGACATCAATCCCATTGACTTCTCCATGGTCAAGCTGAAGGAAAGTAAGAACAAAGCCTGCAACTGCACTGATGTCATCACATCAAACAAACGGCTCCCAGGCTCCAAGAGAGCACAGGGCAGGGTGTCATTATCTCTCTTTGCATGCGTCTCTTTGCATATCTCTCTTTGCATGCGTATTTAAAAGCAATATAACAAAAATATGAACACACTGCTGCCTGTCAACCAGAGAAACAGAAAAGAAATATTAAGAAATATTCATTTAATGAAGGTCTCCCCCAGGGTAGCAAATTAAACCGTAGCAAAGCCAAAAAGAGTTTTTCTGATTTGAAAGAGTAAGTTTTGTCACCTTTTATAGAGCGTATGAATGTAACATGCAAAATTAGCTAATGAATTATGCCTGAACAGTTCATCAATCTCTCTTTTGTTAAGATCTATTTATTTTTATTGGAAAGTCAGATTTACAGAGAGGAGTAGAGACAGAGAGAAAGATCTTCCATTCACCGGTTTACTCCCCAAATTTCTATACGGGCTAGAAATGAGCTGATCAGAACACAGGAGCCAGGAAGTTCTTCCAGGTCTCCCAATCGGTTGTAGGGTCCTAAGGCTTTGGGTCGTCCTTGACTGCTATCCCAGGCTACATTTCCAGCAAGGAACTTGAAGGGTATAAGAGCAGCCAGCATATGAACTTGCACCCATATGGGATCCCAGTGCATGCAAGGAGAGGACTTTAGCAACCAGGCTACTGTGCCAGGCCATCTATCATTTTTTTCAAGGAATCAAATCTTTGTGAATAAGCAAAAAGTTAACATTTTCTAATTATTAATACTATAAATATTCTATATGTAGCATGTTTCTTCTACAAATCATCTGTATTTTAGACTTTTTAAACTTCTGAAAACTAAAATCAAATAGGACAATTCATAACACAAATACAGAACATTTTAAATGCATTTAGAATATGAGAAAACATAAGATACAGTTTTCTATTTTCTATTTAGTTTGCAGAAATATCAAGTCTAGACAAAAAAAAAAGAAAATATAAAATTATATTTAAAATGGTGACATATAGAAATGTACCAACCTTCCGGATCCAGTAGTTTTTCTATGCCAAGTTGACTTTTGGCAATGTTGAAGGCATGTTCCAGTCGTTGTGTGGGTGACTGCTGGCAAACCACACTATTCCAATCAAACAGGTCTGGCCTGGAATACACATACACACACACACACACACACACACAGAGAGAGAGAGAGAGAGAGAGAACACAAATGTAAATCAATCTGAAATGCTTCAAGATACTCTATTTAATTCCTTACTTTGAATGGCAACCCAATACTGTGGTCCTTAAAAATAAAATGTTATCATTAGTTATGGCTCAATAGCAATTCATACTTAAATTAGTCACAATTTTGCTTGAAAATTTTTCAGTTGAATACCTAAAGTACAAGGGCACTTCAACATTTTGTAGAAAATCAAATTAAAAGACTAATTTGTTCTGGCATTTAAAGTTAACATGTACGCAGGTTTTTTTTTTTTTCAAAATATGCCTTTTGCATGAATTTTTGAGAATTTTAATTTGTCAGTGACATCTTAGTAAAGATGGGGAAAAATAATGAAGAAAATAATTTATTCTGCTTTATGCAATGACTAAAAGGCGTTAAACTCACCCAATTTTGTCTGTTTGAAAATGAGCCACTTCTGAGTAATTGCAAATTCTATAACCCTCCTCCAATCTTCCCTTGAACTTCAGACTTTAGACTGTCCTGCCCATTCATTAGCTTCATTCAACAATCACAAGCTCAAGTGCTCAAAACTGAGCTTCCAATCTCAGGTGCATCCCACTCTTCATAGCCCACCTCCTTCACTTTCAGTTCTTGAATATTCAGTAATCAACAATTACAAATTTGCAGTTCCTCTAATTAAGATTCTTGGAATCATCCTTGAAGACTCTTGCACCCTCACACTACAATCAGTTAAACATATATTCAGAATTTGACCAGTTCTCACTGCTATCATGCTAGTTCTAAGTATCATTTTATCTTGCAAGGACTACTGCAGTAGTCTTCTAACTACTCCCCCAAGCCCACCCTCGGCCTTGTTAATCTACGCTCAGTAGAATTTCCAGAGCAATCTGTTAAAAGTACATTTCATGATGTTCCTTTTCTTAAATCCTTACGATCTGGGAAGTGAAAATTAGAGATATAACAATGATCCATTACATCAACATTGTCTGGCTCCCCAATAGTTCCCTGATTTGATTTCTTGCCTTCCTTCTCATATTTTCCAAGCAGGCTAGATAGTTTCTCTATTTGCATTCAGTTGTTCCCTCTGCCTGAAATTCTATTTTCCCAAACATCCACACAGCTCACTCTTCTGCGTCCCCTGAGTCACATTATCAGTAAGTCCTTCCCTGTCCTCTATCTAAAATTTCACGACCCACTCAAACTTATAATTACTCATTTTCTTTCCCCTGAGCCCTTTTATGTTATTCTCATTAGATTTTACTATTTAACATATTATATAATCTAATGAATCTCATTTTTAAATATCTGTCTCATCAATGAGAATGTTGACTGCAAAAATATTTTTATCCACTGAATTTCATTAATAAAAATCCAGTTTGACACAGCAGAGGGTCTCACTAAATAGTTGTCAAAAATGTTTTAGTTGATATAGAGATAACACGAAAGGGTAAGACATCACTGTTATAATGCAATGATTTTGTATCTAATGAGGGGAAATAAAAGCACATACCATAATAATTTCATCAAAATGTATTATTATTTATTAAAACCTACATTTGAAAATAAAGATGATAATATATAAGGTTTTCTAGAACCTGAGGAGGTCAATATAAGTTGTTTAAGTTTTAATTAATGAACTCTTAAATTATAGCATGGTTCAGAAAAAAAATGGGGGAGTATCTAGTGTCACAGTACAGCAAATTAAATGAGAGTGCTGGTTCGAGTCCTGGCTGCTCCACTTCCAATCCAACTCCATGTGAATATACGTTGGAAGGATGTGGAAAAAGTGCCATGTTTTGCCACCCTGCATTCATGTGGGAGATCTAGAAGAAGCTCCATGCTCCTAGCTTTGGCCTGGTCCAGCATTGGCATTTGAAGTCATTTTGAGAGTGAACCATCCCCTGCCCCCATCATTCTGTGTTTCAGATAAATAAAGGATGACATTGTAATAAAGAGAGAAGCCATGTAATACAAGGGAAGAAGATACAGGGCTGGTTTGTTGTTGTTCTCAAAGACTATAATTCAAAATAATGGCACAAACTTATTTCTCAATTCCTTTTTTCCATTGCCTTTATCCTGATTAATGAAAATCAGAAATTTGTTCACTTAGTGGGAAAACAAAATTTCCATATTTATTCCAAATTTTCCTAAACAGCTAAGAGTCTTTTGGAGCCTAAAATATTTCTAAGCTGCTAAATGCCTGCAGTGGTGGGATGAATATACCAAATATAAATTAAATTCGGGACTGGTTGTGCAGCTTTTACTTCCCTATGAAAACTCTGCCCCATTTCTATTCATCTTTAGGCAATGCCGGTAGAAAAGGACAAGGGTATATGGAAAACTAGAAAAAAATGAGAATCATTTCTGCATTCTAACCCTTTTCCTCTCCGCTATTTCTCCTTCCCCTTGTAATACTGCAATTAGAAACACATGTGGGGATGGACATCTGGCCTAGTGACTAAGACAGCACTGAGAGTGCCTGTATCTTAAATTTACTCTGCTTCCTATTCCACAGCTCTGCTAATGCTCACTGGCTCAAGTACTTGGGTTCTAACTCATGGGAGAAGCCTGAATTGAGTTTCCCAGCACCTTGGTTTGGACTGGCCAAGCCCCAGCTCTTTTGGTCATTTGAAGAGTGAGCTAACACGTGAGATCTGTCTGTCTCTCTCTCTCTCTAAGCCTTTCAAATAAAATAAATATCTAAATACATTGTTAAATAATTAAAAGTATAGGCTTAATGACTAGATTGAAAGTAACAAAATGAGTAAGTGGATGGATGTATTAGTACCCATGAGCTTCACATTGAGAAACAAATGCACATGCCATAAAAATCAATTTATTAAGAAATGAAAGTGAAAATACATGATATTATAAGCATGAGAAACAACAGGAGCAGGTCCTCCTAAGGACTGCATTGTGATGGCATAGGGCTGGAGTCCTGACACTTTGTTTCCCGTGCTCTTGGCTTTAGTATCTGCTTTTTAACCCTGCCCCCCCCACCACCAAAAAAAAATCAAATACTGTGGTAATAAGGAATTTAAAGCACAGTTAAATTGTAAACGTACAGCTTGTGCAAATTCATTAGCATGGTTTCATCATATTTCTAATCAGTTATCAAGGGGTTTTCCACAGAATTTGAATCTGACTTCTTTTTGGATTCTTTTTTGTGTTATAACACAAAACTTTGGATTCCCAAGGCCCTTTTGTGAATTCCCATGCTCTGTGTTAAGGGCATGCCTTTGTTCCACACAGCATAGTTACTCCATTATTGAAATCAGGACACCTCATGACGTTCCTAAGTGACAATCACCTTGGAACAGAATCCAACTTTTTTTTTTCAGATACGTAACATAAACCAAAGACAGAAGTGGGGGAGGATGAGTTATGAATGGGTGTTGAATAACTTTGAGGACTCTCTTGAAAGTAACCATTTAATGTGAAAATAAGTGGTTACTGATGATTCATTCAATATTCTGTGAGAGTACATACATGCACATATTTTGCGCAAGAAAGAGTGGGTCAGGGACAGGACAATCTGGCTATGTTTACTGCCTATGAATACATTTGGAAATCATGCAACAGAATATTAAAATGTATCATGAGAAGAGGCTCACGGGATTGAAGCCTCCCACTTGAAGAGAAAATGTTAAAGAGGCAAGAAGGACTATATGACGTGAGCCACAATAACTTGGTTCATCAGCAAGTGTGTACACGAACAGCAAGATCAATATTTTCAGGTTCTTTGTGGGAAGCATGTGGCTGCATAAATGAGCAGTGACTCGCGATGCTGAATGAACCTCTTTATTCCTTCTCATCTGACTGTTTGGAAGCTGTGGAAAATTTGTCTTCTGTCATACTTGTGAAAATCAATCTGTTAACATTGCTTAACACGCTGATTGGCTGCAAGTTGGCCTCCTTTCTAAAATAGGCTTGCTGAGTCATTCACCTGGAAACCCAGGCTAGATGGGGTTAATTAAACCCAGCTGGAGCGAGACACCAGACAAAGAGGCTTATTTAGAGCATGTTTGCTCTTGGATTGAGCGTTATGACAAAGACAATTTATATTCTGAGCTTTTCATGAAGCTAGATTGGCAGAGAAAAATGATAGATTCATCCCAAAAAAAAAAAAAAAAAAAACCAAAACCAAACTGCATCAAAGTGGGAAAAGATAAGCTGCAGCAAAAGTCAGGGAGGATGCAGTCCAGGGACATTTCAAACACAGTTCATCAGGTGATGCATTTGATTTTGGATTAAGTAAGAGAGACAGTAATGTAGAGACCAAACTAGGAACTCCTTAAACTAAATATATTCTCTCAACTTATCTCTCCTGTATCATACCTCAGAAAAATATTATATATAATATACCAAATGTCTTATACATCACATCTTATATTGTATAATATACATTGCATAAATAAATGCATTTATAGATATTTCCGAATTTTGTGCTTCTTGGGTTCTTCAATTCATTCACTAAACTTCCTTATACAAGAAAAGCAAACATTTTAGGCTGTATAACACTGTATAGAATACAGTTAATGATGTTCAGTTCACTGTGTTAGTCTCAGTTCTTTTTGTGAAGATCAGTCTCTTGTTTACAACACTTGCTTTTGTGTTCCTGAGCAGTTGTTTCTTTCAGTTCTCTGAGCACAGGGTCATGGAAATTATGGTGTTCTGTTCTTAGCCTTAGTTACTAAGATGCTCATAACCACTTTTAACCCTGAACTAGAAGAAAATACGCCTTATGATGTTTACTGTCAAAGTATCTGCTAAATGGTTTTCTTTTTAAACATTTATCTGTTGATGATAATTTGATCACAACCACCTACAAGAGATTTAGAACAATTTTTACCAATGTTGGCTAGCTTTATGCACTGATTTTTCTGCAAAAAGTCCAATTCCATACAACCTGGGTTTTCTGGAAGTCCCAGTTTCAACTAAGTTGATCCTTTACCCTCACCATAACAAATTTTACACTCCATTGATTTCAGTATTTAAACAGCTAAATGGCATTTCGAACAAAATTTGTTAAACTATGGTCAACCAACGCACATAAAATTTTGCATAGTAAAAATGATCTAGAATCACACTAGAGAAAATGTATCAACACCAACACTTCTGAAAAGCATTTAGCATTCTCTATAGCATGCTCACCTATGACTGTGGATGAGGGCATTCAGAGCCAGGCCATCACACCAGCTGGTGGTAAAGTTGATGACATTAACCTGTGGATAATTACGAGTTGATTGTCGGACCCAGCTCAGGAGAATCTTTTCACTATTGGTTTGTTGCAATCCAGCCATGATATTCTTCATTACATTTTTGACCTACATGTGGGAAAAAGGGCTGTTAGCAAATAAGAATCACACAAACATCAATATAATGCCCTCATCACTTAGAGCCAAATAATGGGGAGTTTGATTGGGGGGAGAGATAATCACTGATAAATTTTTTAAAAATCTACCAAGTCTGGATTCATATCAGTTATTTTTGGAATCTGTTCCCTTTGGTTAGTGCCCATTATATATATATTACTATTCCTAAAACCTGACACATTAAACTACAAATCACTGGTCTTACACTTGTTTATCTTTTAACTTTTAATATATAGACAAAAGAAATGAGTGTGCAAATACTAGAATAACCAAGAACTTAAATATATCAGTGATTTTAAAGTAACAGTACATAGATAAGAGAATATTTTAATGCCTAGATTCAAAGCCTGCCTTTGTATTAACTAACCACGCTAACTTACTTAAGAAGTTATTTAAGCTTTGTATGTCTTTATCCTTTCCATCCTTTTCAAACATACTAGGTTGTAAGAATCAGTCTAACACATGCTAAAGTAAAACTCCTAAGTTAATTCTGAAATTTAAAGTAATACTCATATTCATTTGAGCACAGTTTAAATATAATGAACATTGGCTGAAAGACAGATATGTTTCCCAATGGAATAGAAAAACATTTTAGAAATACAGCAACTATCCCTAAGAGCTGTGGACATGTGGCCCTTGGTTTTATTGTCCTTAATTCATTTGGAATGCTCCTCTCCTAGGTTTTGTACTTGTGCAAATGTTATTCAGCAGGTTATTATATTTCAAAGTTGCAATCCTCCATTCTGATGCAGAAAGCATTCTAAGCATTTTTCCTAAATATCAAGAACACAGTGACACCTCATTATAGAACATACTGCCTACAGTCTTATTAAAGAAACCTATACAAGGTGATTTGTTCAATATAAGCTAAGCCACTAATGAGATACTTGAAAGAAGTACAGAAGTAAATGTCATTAGCCTTTAGCACCGAGGACTTTGCTTTGGGGAAATACCGTCCATACCTTATTCTATGCACTGCCAACATCTTGACCAGGTGATGAATATTTATAGTGCATTCAAAACATGTCATTTTATTTTCCTTTTCCATCCATGTGGAAGTTACCCACTGCCTCTGGGGTAAATACATATTTAACAAATCCGATGTAACTCATTCTTTTATGAAAGAGTCAAAGTAAAATTGAGAGTATGCAATTAAATCATGTCTTAAAAAGTTTGGGAAAAGTTTTAGTAAACATGGTCATATCCTGAAGAAATGTGATCTTGGCATATTTTGCTATGATCTGCTGATAGCTTGATCCATTATTTAGGAGTGCAATATCTACTTTCATTTATTTCTGACTGGCCAACTTACATCATTCAGTGATTAAACAGGTCAAATAATTATTTAGTATATCTAATTGTTAAAGTATTATTAGATAGCAAGCACCTCAGCCCTGTCAGACTGACTAAAATAAAAGACGTAGTGCTACCAATGCTGGCAAGAATGTGGAAAAAAGAACACTTCAACACCGTTAAATGAGCGCAATCACAGTGGAAAACAGTTTGGAGATTTCTTTAAAAAACAGAAACAATTTGCCATATGATCGAGCCATTCCATTACTGGAAAACATAATCATGAAAAAAAAAAAAAAGATACCTGTGCCTCTATGTATTTTGGCTGCACTATTCACAACAGGCAAAATGTGGAATCAACCAACGAATCCATCATCCGGTGAATGGATAAAATATAGTATAAACAGTCACACACATCTCCATAATGTAAAATTATTGAACTATAAAAGAGATGGAAATTTTACCATTTGTATCAAAATGATTGAATGGATGCAACTGGATGACATCGTGCTGAGTAAAATAAGCATAGATTGGCAGCAATTCAGACCTGATGAACTATCAAAACTGCTTCAGCAGGACCCTCGGAGCATGCCTCACATCAGGGACCTGGGATGGGTGGGAGGCTGGGTGGGGCTTCTCCCTTTGTTTCTCCCTGACCCCAGATACAGGGGGAAAAATGATATTAGTGTGGAAACAATGGTATTACCCATTTTCCTGTTGCCCTTGACCCTTTGTACCCTAATCAACTAAGTAAGATTATTTTAAGAATAAATAAATAAATTTAAATATATATATACATACAACTAAAAATAGGAAACAAAAAAAAGCATAGAAACACAAATATCCCATGTTCTTCCTTATATGTAAGAGCCAAAATTTAAAGAGGAAAATAAATTTTAAAAAGCAAAGACAAAGCTAAAAAAGAAAGAAATGCCAAGCTGTCATTGGTAGTACTGCAAATATGTAGCTCTGTCAAACTTTGTTTACATTGTTGTCAAACCACTGGCTAAGAATGCTGCACAGTTATAGTTTTGATGGTTTGTGATTATTTCAAAATTTACTCTATATGGGCGCAAATCATCTTTCCATTTGATTATTGTCTACAGGCCTTGTCTATGTTACTGCAGAACTAGGATCATTTAATATGCTGATTTCTTTCTTCAGTGGAGCAATAGGCCCTAGACTGTAGTGATAATTAAAGTACGTTATCACAAAAACTAAACAGGAAAATAGCAAGAGGGAAGGCCTCAGAATGGGGCAAGTGGAGGCTGGGAAGAAGGATGTAAATATCATTATAATCTTAGAAACTATTATGCTTGGGAAAATGAGCCAATCCCCAAAAGACAAATACGTTTTCTCTGATAAGAAATGATACACCGAACACAAAAGCTAATCTATATAAGCGAGGTTAACATTCTGAGATCTGATCACTATTTATAGCCTCTGACTACACCCCTGAGTAATAGCAGGATTTGCAGTCCTTTCTCTCTTCTTGCTATGCTTGCACATCTTTGCCTATTGGAGTGTTAAGCTTTGATTGTTAAGCAGGAGAAAAATATGACATTGTAACAATTAGTAAAAGGGGGAGGATAGGGAAGGAGTAGGAGGGAAATGGGAGGATCCCCTATGTTTCTGTATCTGCATTGTGAGATACATGAAATCTATTCATTCTATATATAAGTTAATTAAAAAAAAGAACTGTATTTATGAGTTCTAAGATATATTTTTCCTTAACATACTCCAAAACTATAAATTGTACAACCTCCATAGACAGCAATTGTATGATGTGTAATTTGTACCGTGTGTTAAGTCAGGATGGGAATCAGCAGATACTGGCCCAATGGTAGTGATGGATTTGCACTGATCCGGCATCCTTCCAATGATGAATGGGACTCATTTGTGAAATTCTAGAAAAGACTGCCCTCTATGCACATAATGTTAAAGGACAACACAGTATTCAATCTAAAACTCCTTTAGCATTTTTATGTCACTAATGAAGTTTATTAGCCTCAGTCTCATTTGGCACTGCTTTTACCTGAGCACAAATGTTGCTGAAATGAAAATAAAGAGCAATATGTGAAAATAATTCCTTTCTTACTTAAAACACAGTTAGCAAGAAATTATATAGCTGCTTCTAAATGTGGGTCTGCAAACCAAAATAATTATTTTGCCCTCACAGCTTACTGTCTCTATGGGGCAAATAATCAATCTAAACAAGTGTGTGTGTGTGTGTGTGTGTGTGTGTGTGTGTGTGTGTGCGCTAGAGATTTGATTTTAAAAGAAAATAATTGAAATGTCTGTGAGCAGAGATTTTAAAAATTCCCAGGAATCTAAACTGTGCAAAGAAGATATCATTAAATTGTAGGGTATACCAGCAAGATTTTTCTTCAAGGAAGGGTTTATTGTAGCTGTTATTGGGTAATCTCCAGCCACCTGTTAGGCCTCTCAGTTGCTGAATCATGTTACCTGAAATGCATCTTTTTGGAAGCATTCTATATCTAGCGTTTGACAAACAGTCATGATACAAACACTAACCCATTGTGATTCCCCTTAGGACAAGGTCCTGCTAGCTCCCGGTTCCCCATGGCTTTGAATAAAGCTACTGTTGAGACTGCAACATAGTTTTAGTTTTCACTTGGGCCACCTCTGTCTTTCTAGAAGTGTCGGACCGAAGGGATCTCTTTTTAAGCACCTTGCTTGTTAAACCCAACTTCAGAGTCTACTCGCAAAACTCACTCTAAATTAAGGGATATAGATGATTGGGAGTAAAGAGATAGGAAAAATATATAGGGAAAAGAGAGGTTGCAAGAAGCACTGCAGAAAAGCTCAGGAATAACTCCTGTAGAGAAATGACCGAGTAGGAAGAATCGGAGGCTGTTTAGTGGTAGCAAAATCATTATTTCCAGATAACTGCGTAGTAGGTAAATAATGTGTGCCACAGGTTGGGAGGATCAGGAGAGTGGGGTAAGTGTGGCTGTTTTCTTGGAATTGTACATACAGAATGCATGAAATCTGCTCTCTTCAATAAAAATTATAAAATAAAATTAAAGTTAAAAACTCCCGGGTGAATTTGCCCTAGAATTGAGCACAGCAAAGGTGATTTAGCCAGCAAAGGTGAGCATCTGACTTCTATTACAACATGGCCAGAAAGATGTGTTTTCATCTCTAGCTATTTGTCAGGACAGTGTTCTACCCTGAAAAAAAAATGATATCCACATAAAAAGGAATAAAAAGATGCCAAACATACATTGTCTATTTCACAGTTTTTTTCAAAATAGCTCATTCCTCAAATTCTGCATAATTTTTTCCGGCTAACAATTTTTACCTGAAGTGGGAACCATAACAATCATGATCAGAAAATAGTGTTGGCATTCCTGAGTTTTTTCAAGTTCAAAGTCCTCCACAGTACTACTAATAGCACACAATATGGCTCTGGAAGAAAGGGTTCACATCTTTTCATCTATTAATGCCATTCATAGTCTGCTACACATGTCCTTTAATCTTTTCAGTCTCAATTTAACAGGAGGATGCAAAGGTGATTTGGGGGAAGATTTTTTTTTTCCGGACTCTCTAGGTTTTGAAGTATTTAGCAGTTTCAGGAGGACAAGATAGCATGATAGAGCAAAAGGGGAGGGATATGTACACATTGAATGGGAAGAGTCCTTCAAATCACAAGGATAAGATAATTCAAAAACACAGACATCCGCATGAGGTTGCAGTAAGAACTTAGGCAAGGAAAGACCGAAAAACAGTCCTTGTATGATGAAGTCTAGAACCTCCTTCACATGGTAACAACGACGAAAAGATGAATTTTAAGAAAATACCAGGGTAATCAAGATGGAGGAGTAGGACAAGGACACACTTAAACAGATGGAGAATCATTAGCCAGGGTGAAGCAGAGAGGGCTCATTCCAGGAAACAGGAGAGAATAGATAGGCCAATGGCAGAGGGGCACCTGGAGACTTACGGACATGGGATAGCAGTGCACACGACGGTGTGGGATTGCAGTGACCAGATTCCCCCACTGGCAGTCAGTGAGCCATGATCTGAGCTCCACCAGTGACCGGAGCTCCACCAGCAGCCAGGTGGGAAGCAGAGTTCACTAGGAGCTCAGGAGGTGAAACCCAGGCAAAGAAATGCCCATCCTGCTGATTTGTTTGATTTGACCAGGAGTAGATACAGAGTTTGTTTGGTGTGAGATAAGCTACCTTTTACCTTGAATGTTTTATTTGACACTACACTGCTATGATTGCATGCAATTTGTCCTCCAAGAATTCAGCTGTTGAACACTTACAAGATGTCAAATAACTGGGGTCATCCACTTTTAGATTTCAACCTCCAAAACTGTAAGCCAAATAAGTCTCTTTTCATTATATAGTAGTTTGCTTCTGTGATTTCACTGTAGTAATGAAAAACAAACTAATGAAACCACTGTATGGAAATGGTATAAATTGTGCAACTCAGGCTCATGAGAGGCTCTCTTTTGCTGTTCTGTTGTCAGTAGTTGTTCATTCTCTCTATTCCTGTCTTTCCCTCTACCCCCAACTCCATATTGCTATGAGATAGAGTGGAGCATATTTGGATTATCTGGAATTTTTAAAATGAAGGTTAATTGGGAGGTCACTGCAAGCATTGAGTGGTACATCTCTGACCTACATGTTACCTTTTTAAAGTTTCATTTATTTTTACAGAAAAGGCAAGTTCAAATTTATAGAGAGAAGGAGATACAGAGAGAAAGATCATCTATCTACTCATTCACTCCCCAAGTGGCCACAATGGCTGAATTAGAGCCAATCTGGAGCCAGGAGACAGGAGCCTCTTCCAGGTCTCCCATATGGGTGCATGGTCCCAAGACTTTGGGCCATCTGCAACTACTTTTCCCAGGCCATTAAGCAGGGAGGTAGATTTCAGGAAACGGAGCAGCCAGGACATGAATTAGTGTCCTTATGGGATTGCTGGTGCTTAGATGTAGAAGGATTAACCAATTGAGCCATTATGCTCCACCCTCACCCCATTCCCTCCCTCCTTTGTCCCCTCTCACACTCACATGTGATATGATTCTGAGAAAGACAAACAACAGTACTAGAGTGGGTGGTTTCGACCCAGCAGTTAAGACACTAATTAGAACCCCAACATTCTATATTAGAGTGGTTGGGTTTCATATCTAGCTCTAGCTCCTGAGTCTATATTCCTGCTAATGCTGATGCCATGATGCAGAGGGATAGCTTCAGTAACAGGATTCCTACCGCCTTTGGAGCCCAGGATTGTGTTTTTTGCTGCCAGCTTCAGTCCATTTCAATGGTAGACCTTGGTGGGCATATGGCAAATGTGAGGTGCTCACTCACCTCACATTATTGCTCCTGAGGTACCACTCTCTCTCTTCAACAAATGGGCACAATAAACAATGTATGTATTTGTGTGTATTTAATTTTAAAAAGTCATCTTACTTACACAAAGTGGTGATTCCTGCTACAATAGGGATAGGCCTTGAATATAAAGAAGGCTGACACAAATGAACACATATTACATGATTCCATTAATATAAAATTCCTAAACAAGCAAATGTAGAGAAACAGAACAGATAAACAGTTGTCTTGGGCTGGAAAAGGAGTTCAGGGTAACTGTGAATTGGTAAGGAACTTCTTTTGGGTTTGTGAAATATACTAAATTTAGATAGCAATAATGGCTGTATAACCCTGTCAATCTCTTCAAATTTTGGCTTATTAGGGGAAAAATCATGTTTTCCTCAAGATTGAGATGCTAATGAGAAACAGAAAAGTATATGGATATATATTTAATTTTACACTTAGATGGGGGTAAATTTGTAGTATTAAAGTTAAATCTTTGGCTGGTGCAGTGGCTTAGTAAGATAATCCTCCCCCTGCAGTGTTGGCGTCCCGTATGGGTACTGATTTGAGTTCTGTTCCTCTTCTGATCCTGCTCCCTGCTTATGGCCTGGAACAGCAGAAGAGGATGGTTAAGTATTTGGGCACCTGCACCCAAGAGGAAGATCCAGTGGAGGCTCCTGGTTCATGATTTAAGATCAGCTCAGCACTTGCCATTGCACCCATTTGGGCAGTGAACCAGTGGATAGAAAATTGTCTTCTCTCTCTTTCCCTCTCTGTAAATCTGCTGTTCAAATAAATAAATAAACAGATAAATAAATTAATAAATAGCTACATCTCAAAAAAGCTGTTTATAAAAAGTATAACCCATGTTTCAGAAAAATGCATAAATATCTGAAATACCCTCCAGCATCTTAAAATAAGAGTGAAAATCTCTAAGGAATTGATATGGTTAATATTGTATACTTAAAACACAAATGGAAAACTTACTGAGTGTCTTATGGGATGTTGTTTCATTTAACTCTTTTAAGACATATGCACATTTTCATTTTAGTTCTCTCTTCTGACACTGAAAACATACGTATTCCATATGACACTATACCCAGTGTCACTAAGCTGCTATGTTTAAATTTAAACTCATACTTTTCGGTCTATATTTATCTATCTACTCTCCTCACTAAAGCAATGGAATTTCAGTCTGTTTTGCAGTGTCTGAAAATAGACATTCAGAATGCCCTATGGTCAGGTAAGTCAGACAAAAAAAAAATACAATATCTAACACATATGCTTACACCTAAATCCCTCTGCTGTTTCCTTGGCATTAGTTCATATTAAAGATATACAAGACTGGCATTCTCATTTCTTGGATAATGATTAAGAAAAAAAGTTTTTTTCTTACACAGATTCACTTACTGACATGTTATAGGACACATATTTGTGGAAATGTTTTCATTAACCTATGCCTGGGGCATTTTCTGCTTTGCCTCATCCCCACTGCATGAAATAAAATTTAGAAAAATATATTTGTTCAAATGTGGCAAACCCTGTTTTATGATCTCATAATGTGTAACATCTGAGATGATGTCAGCTGTTCCATTTAAAAGCCTGCAGTGTAGAGGTGGGTTTGGTATTGGTGAGAATCATCCAAACAAGTTTACTTACTAAGTCAACAGTAAAAATCAAAGGAAAGATTAGCTACATTTCATTCCAAAAGGAATGGTTATCACAGGTCTTACCTGCCAGTGGAGGATTATATTCCAAATCAAACCAAGAGTCAGTTTATGATTCCCATCTACTATGTCAGTGCTTCCAATATTCACTAAATCCACCTGTTAAGGAAAAAGAGAAAACATTTGGAGGAAGGATACCAAATGGTGAAAGCAAATGCACTTAGCTATTTTTAAGCAGTATTATAGCTTTGAGAAACAATCTAAAACTAAAACATATATGTAAACTCACTTTCTATAACAAACAAGTACCCCCAAGCTCAATTTAAGAGGTAGGCGATGAATATATTTTCCTCATATGAATATATTAGTGTATATTGAAGAAGCCAATGATGTTATCTTCAAATAAAATGTAGGGAGTAATAATTCATAAGGATGCCTAAAATTAAGATATGCTTTCTAATAAAGAATTGAAACAGAAAAATTTACAACATAAAAATGTATTAATTCTACATACCTCAGAGGAATGCTCTTATCATGTTACTACATTCAATCAATTCTTCATTAGAAAAAATCATATCAGAACTCTAATAAACAAGAGTAGCTAGTGGCCAGTTATTTTTTTATATCCAAGTCAGGGTTTGCAAACAAATCTCACAGTTTAAGTTTTTCAAGGCAAATCTCCATTATAGCTCCTGTTTTTCATGCTCCTAACACTTTCAGGTGGAGTGAGGTCACACATACACATCAGAAAAATAAGCACATAAAAGATGTTTAACATGATTAGCCATTAGGGAAATACAGATCCCAACCACAATGAGATATAAGATATCACTATGCACTTATCATAATGCACAAAAGTAAACAACAACAGCCAGCTTCCATCAAATGCTGGTGAGGATACAGACGAAGCGAGTTACCCCAACGTTGCCTGTAAAAATGTACATGGTGCAGCCATTCTGGAAATTATTTTCTCATAAAAAACTGAACATACACAGACTCTATTATCCAGCAACTGGGCTCTTAGACATTTATCCCAAACAAATGGAAATTGGCTTACAGAAAAATTTGTCTGTGAGGATACATACCAGCTTTATTCTTTTATTACTCTTTTCCATGATACGGCTTTGTAGGTAGAGGGTTCCCCTACCCACCTGCCCTTTCTGCCTTCCCATTCTCCCCCTCACAACCATGTACGCATGCGTGTACGCATGAGTGTAGGTAAAGCTGGGCATATCTGAATGCTACCGGAAGATTGTTTCAATATTAGTATCTTGGTGGTAATACTATATTTTAGATTCACAATATGTTGTCAGATATCAGAAAAAAATGAGCAAACTCAAGAACAGGAAACATTGTCTACATTTTATCCCGGGTTCCTTCTATGAAAGTACAAGATAGGAGCTCTTACATTGGAAAGCCATTACAAATGTAGCAATTGATTCACTGATTCATGCACTCTGCAAGGACAGCTAGTGCCAGACACTATTGCACGTTGTTTTCTTGGAACTGAATTCTACTCAAAATGATAACCAGATCATACATTGTTGAAAATTCAGCCCCTGAAATGTTGATTATGCTCTTTTGAAGAAGTAGGGTTTATTCTGAGGAAACAACTGCTTGTCATTGAGTTCTGACTTGCCCAAGGGCTAAGACTTGGAGCAAGCAGTAGGAATTTAGATTCCCTGTTGCCAAGAAAGTCACAAGTAGGGGCCCCAAATTGTAGCAGAGTGGGTTACACTACTGCCTGCAACCTTGGCATCCCATATGGGTGTGGGTTCCAATCCCAGGTGCTGCATTTCCAATCCAGCTCCCTGCTAACATTCCTTGGAAAAACAGCAACAGATGGTTCAAGTACTTTGCCCCCTGCCCCTGCTGGCAAAACTAGTAGCATTTGTTGGAGGAAATGCATGTTTATTTATGCATGTAGACTTGAAAGGACTGCGGTTCCAAGAGCCAAACCCCTGGCCTTTTTACTACTTTTACGCCTCCAATCTGTACATCATGGTGACAGGCAGTTTCATTAGGCACACGCTTACCTTAGGCATGCATATTTACAAAGTCTTAGGTGTAATAACAGCTGAGACGGGGGTCCTGAGCTCAGCTCCTGCTTGTCCGCACTAAATGTCTCCCCACAGGCAAGAGGGCAAGTTTTTGAGTTTTTGGTTCTGCAACATTCCTTCTTCTTTTCTGAAACATCTTTAGAATCCACTAAAAACTCATTTTCTATGGGCCAGTATGGGGCAAGGAGAAGCTCCACAACCATTATGCTCTGGAAAGTAACCTCACCATTCACACCAGAGTTCAGCAGGACACAGACTGTTGTTACATGAGATAAATGATTGTTCTCAACACAACCCCCATACACATTACTAGTGTAACTTTTTTTGTGACTGGCTTTGGTTTTTTTTGGTGCAGGCTTGGCTAAACATAAAGGTAATATTGGTAATAAAGGTAATACTGTCACTAGTCCCAACAGAATGCAGTGACACTGAGACCATAATTCCAACATGTTGCCTGTTGTATTCCTCAAAGTTCCAATGTGTATAGACTGGCAAGTCTCTGGTGTACAGTCATGGCAAGGTATTGGCATCTGATTTGGCAGGCTTCCCGGAAGGGGTGGTCCTTGTGACTAGGCATCAGAGTTTCTAGAGCAGCTAAGTTTTCACAGCTGTCCAAGAATAGTGTTAGATGATCAGGTGGTTCCTATGGAAGGAAGATACCCTATTGTGTTTCATCACCCAATCTGGCCTAGGAAGAGATCTGGCCTGAACAGGAGATCATTATAGCATAGGCTGCAGCTCTACCCTAGGCCACCCGCTCAATCACAGTGATCACTTGGGAAGCTGGGTAGAGTGAAGAGCTTTTATAGCTTGGGGTCTATAGGATCTGTGGTTTTGACCCAGGAGTCCTTTAATACTCAGGGCTGTTCTGTTTCCAGGGGCCTGGCTCTTGGCAGCGCTAACAGGGCTCTTTGGAAGCCAGCTTCTGTCATAACAGCTGTTCGCCCAATGCCCTGGCTTTCCATATCAAAAAACAGGTGCCAGTTGAGGGTGGACTGGCCTTGGGTCTACTTGACACCAGATCAGCACATAAGCCATTATTAATTGCCTCCTGCTGCCTAGCTCATGCCTTTTCCTCAGAGGAAGCCTTGAGGATTTCAGCCAAGGGGTTACAGAGTCTCATCCCTAATCTTTAATGGTTTGCTCTAGAAACAACAGCGACAGGCATGTCCAGACAGTGTTTTTCCTGTGAGATAAGACTAGCTCCATGAGGCGAACTCTGTCCTTCAAGATGAGACAAAGGTATGATGATCACCTTAACCAGCCTGTCTACACAGTTTGCAGTCAGCATTGTAAATTTATCGCTCCCTTAGTTTGATTAGAAAAAGGGGTTGCCTGTTTTATTGTTCTCATGGCAAAATAAATCTGGTTGTGGAACTGCACCATACTTCAAGCTTTTTTTCTTTTGGCTATACTATTTGGTCTTTGATATGCGGCCAGGCAATATTACAGAATAAGATTAGCTTTCCGCACATAAGGTTTGAAGAGATCAAACCACACAATCTGAGGGTCCTTCAGAATAGTGTTAGTTTCCTATTATGAAGTCTGCCATTTTGGAGAAAATAGAGAAGAAATGAAGGAACAAGTCAAGATCCATTGATTGCTGATTCTCTGTAACTTAATATCAAGTGAAAACCAAGCAGCTAATTTTAACTGTCAAATGTTAACTTAGGAAAATCATTCCTAAAACATCCAACGGTTTTTATAAATATTGAGACAAGAATAGATGCATTGGAAACATTTTTTCTTTCACACTTATCAACTTAAATTACACTTAAATTATATAAGCAATTAAAATACTGGATAAACATGGATATTATCTTAAGTCATGATTTTTTCCAAAGAACTCTAGAAGTTCCACTGAACTTTATAGGGAGCCATGAACACTGAATTCTATCTTTACCTGTGTTATGTTTAGGTCAATATTACTCCTAAACATAGCATGCTTGACTAGGCAAGCATAACTGTTTTGACTGTCAAGTTCAAGCACAAACATATCTATGACTTGAAACATTTTTTAGTTTTTCAGATTTCTTTTGACAACAAATTGAAAGAGCTTACCAGGGATTTAAGTGACATGAACAAAAATGATTTTTTTGTGTATGTTAATTTAGCAGTCTTAATTTGTGATCACTCTATTATCTATAAGCCAATGAAAATAGAATTTTCCACAAACTTCCCCATGTAGACAAGCAGCATATATACAGGCAAAACATAACACATGTCACAGGGCTGAACTGCTGTCAAAATTATCATCATTGTGTTAGGATTATTCCCTGGTCTTAGTAACTTGAACCAATCCTATTTTTCTCATTGAATATGATTGTGTCTTTAGAAAATACATTGTGGATGACAAAAAAAATTTAAATAGCCATGCTAAGAATTGTAAAACTCACCATCCAACAAGAAGAGGGACTTATTTATCCTAGCTAGTATATTAGAAAGTATCCATAGGCTTTATAAAAACATTTGTCCCTCTAGGCCTCTGGGCCTTATCATTAATAATGATGATGATAACAATACAACATGGTTATTAGACTTTGGTAACTTTTGGACATTTTTAGTAGCATTTTGTATGATCACAACTTCAAATTTAGCATTACTTCACACTTTTGAAGTAATTTTAATATAATCCAAACAGCCAAATCAGTTGGTGTCTCTGCTATATGTGAGAAATATCTCCTGACATTTCCAGCAGGAAAGAGTGGGTAACTAGAAATACCAAGGTCCAAGGGACTTGGAATTTTGAATTTTTGAATACCTGTCAAAGATGTCAAGAAGGCTCAAAATATCGGGAAGGAACAGGATCCCCGGACATTATGACATAATATAGGTCAGATTTCATCACTGACATGAAGTAATCAGATACCTTTAAAATAAGCACATATTTAAACCCTGACTTTTATAAAATTCAACTATCTTTGAACAATTATAACTTAGAAAGAACACAGAGAATATCTCAATAGACTGCAAAACCTCATGGTCTCTGATTTGTCACCAAAATGGGAAACAAAAACCTTGAATTTAAGGTTTATTACATGGAACCATCCCAAAACTTGTAACAATTTAAGAGTTAAGACAAAAGCATGCTGGAGTTGA